TTTTAATATTGGATGAGAAGGACTGCAGAATCAAATGATTGTTTAGTTGATATTCTTTGTATGTAGGAAGGAGAGCTTTCATGTGAGTCATGTTGCTTAATACTGAAATATGAGACAGATTGATAGGCATATTAAGTTGTTAACTATATAATAACCTTGTCAGTTTATTATTTTAAAAGTGTTTTTTATCTTGATTTATGTGCAAATACAAAAATAAATTTGTTAATATATTTTTATTTAATTATATGGCTTGGTAAGTATTAAGTTTAAATTTTTTATTCTATGTATTTCATTCTATAATGCAGTGATATTTAACAACCATTAATGCAATGTGATTAGATAATAGTAATGTTTTAGTATTGAAAATATAACTTTGCATGAGGCAAGTATTTCCAAGTTATGATATTTGTTGAATTTGAAATGTATTCAACATATTTTCCTGACATTTTCTCAGTAGAGAAAACTTCTCACATATTTGCAATGTTAAATTTTCACTGCTCTGTGAATAAGCGTAACTTGCTCATTGACTGTCAGTATATTTTTCTCAAACCAATAATTTTATAATATGAGAAAAATTCTGAATATGAAGAAGCAGCAAATTATATAAATCGATTCAGGAAATGACTAAATGGAAATATTTGCCATTTTGGAGCATTTAGGCTAATATTTATTAATACACTACTCAAAATATATTAGGTTCTATGATTCGTTTTAAGTTAAATATCACTAAGAGCTTTCTTTTTGTGCATCAGTATTAATCATAAAGAACTGGATACATCTTGTAAATACATTATTCTGGATTGGTCTATAAGATCCTGAGACAGAAAATCCAACATGTTAACCTAAGTAATTGTATTGGTATATAAGTAGCATGAGAAAACTAAAGTTTAATCTTCATGGTAAGTCAGCCCCTCAAATCTCAGGATGACTGCCCAGGGAGGACAGATCTCATATGTGGGTCCCTCCTACCACACTGCAGGTGTAGAACCTGAAAGGCAATTCAAACAAGAAGAGGCAACATGAATCATATAGATGAATTGTTTTAGAACATCCTTTTGAAAGGACAGAAACAGAGCCTAGACTCTTGCACACAGCTTTGTTAGCAGGGAACATTGAACATGCGTCATATTCTGTAGTTATTTTTGGTAATGAGTGAGAAGTCTGGGAGAATGGTAGATGATCTAGTACCATACCATAGCACAGATATTATTACAAGATAGACCACCAAAGAGATAGGGCAGATGAAGTTGGGGACCAGAAAATTAAAGCATGTTATCCCAATTTCATCTTTATTATAGTATTCCTAACATGGAGCTTGTTCTGATGATTTTGAACACCAATAAAGGAGGATTTATTGTGCCTGGGATTTACATTTGTCTCCAGGAGCCAAGCTGAGTAGTCTGATACAGAACTGACTGTAGAGCACTTTACAATTCTAGATAATCAGTGGCTTGAATGGGAATGCCCCCAATACACTCATAGATTTGAATGCTTTGTCACCACAGAATAGCGCCACTAGAAAGGATTTGGAGGAAGTGTGTCACTGGGGTGGGCTTTGAAGTTTCAAAAGCCCATGCCAATCCCAGAGTCTCTCTTTCTGCCTGTAGATCAGAAAGTATTGCTCAACTACTGCTCTAGTGCCATGTGAATAATAGATTAAGCCTCTGAAATTGAAAGCAAGTCCACAATTTAGTGATTTCCTTTGTTAGAGTTGCCTTGGTCATGGCCCATTTTCATAGCAATAGAACAGCAATTAAGAATAGTTATAATTATTGGCTGATTACAGTATATACTGTTACTAGAAGAAAATCAACAGAATATATTTGTGGGGGGCATGCATGTGTGTGTGGGGGGGG